CTGCACTTCTGAAGTACCAGATCCCTTTCTCTTTGGAATCTGTTCTTTGTCTTGTCGTACAACCCAAAACACAACAACTGGATACTATTTCTTTCGGTGATAAGTCTTAAAGGATTGCATGGTGAAGAGGTATAATAGAAAGTAGGTTTGCGGTAGCACCATGGACGTATCTCTTTTGTGAGTATTTGCGGTTCTGAAAAGAACCAGTGGTACTCGACGTTTCAAGCAGTATGCTCTGCTCGTCATCATTTTCCTTTTTCTATTATATTTCTTTCGGTATTACTCCAAGCTATGACCAGTTTCAATGGTAAACTATAGACGTACAGTACATGTACATTGAACATTGGTATAGGGCCTAACAATTACATTTTTCAACAAGATCGAAAATAGTACAAATAATACACGTACGAACAAAATAAACTATAAACGTTACATCTAAATATATAGCACCGACAAATGATAAGCTGGATCACTACTGCACGTACACGGACCTGATGGCGTTGACTGCACAGTAGTACTTTTCCTACGAAGATGGCGTCTTAAGGCAGAGACACGAAAGCCAAATCGTGCCACTAAAGTAGGCCTGTAAATGTTCAGCCTGACACTAATTTGTTTTAACGAATTTAGTAGCGAATTAGTGTCAGGCTGAAAATTTATAGTTCATTGCCACGATTGGACTTTCGTGCAGAGATCTATTTGTCAAAGAGCAACATATCATGCTTACATGACCTGCACGCAAGCGTGGTTTCATCGCATAATATATGGCTGCTATTTCTAGACGTAGAATAAGTCCATTTTAAAACCTCTCTAGTGCGACCAGTTACCTCAGAAATCAAAGATGCTTTACCATTTTTGAAAGAATAACATCTATGTACAGATCTTCTGAACTACATTATTCATGGTACATGTATAAGTTTCAAGAAAACTGATACTTATTCAGCAACTCCAGAAAATAATAATTGTTCATCTTTATAATCATTTATGAGTACCTATAGTCAGTTTCCCTATACAAATTGTTTCATGGTTTATGTTAAAAAAAGCTGTATCCTCTTTGAGTGATCCCTGTTCACCACTTCCCAGGTTGTGTCGTGTTAATTGGGGTGTTATCCCTGGCTACATGGTGTTTCAGGTTTAATGGCTTCTGGCTAGGGCCCCTGAACAGACATATTAACAAATGGGAAGAGCCACCAACGTACAGCTGGATAGAGCACCGGAACGGTATTCTAAGGGCCGCAGGTTCCAATCCCGCTGTAGTCAATTTCTCTGTTCATCTTTAAAATCATTATATAAGCACCTAGTCAGTCTCTCTATATAATTTGTTTCATAAACTCCGGGAAAAGATACAATAAAGAAAACCGTAAGCAACTGCTTTGATTTTCACTTCTTGAAACTGATTTGATAAAATCTAATAGACATCCCCTAGCAGACGCTGAAACTCAATTATATTTCCATAGTTTTTTTTACCATACTAAATGCAAGAAAGGCCAAATAATGTTAGGCCAATTACATATTACCATGAACAAAACTATTTCAAGCTAGGCCCATATAAAATTCACTTTAAAACCAGTTTCAAATTAAGGATGGAACAGAGTACAGATCATAGATGTCTCATACCAACACCTAAAGGCTGTGCTCGAGTAGACACTATAAAAAGAGCACCTTCCTCAAACACAACCACATCATCTGAGGTGAATTGCAATTCTAATACTGGTGATTCAAAATAAAATAGTACGCCTCCAAGAGTTTGCAACGTGTTGGCCAATCACAATACACGAAATTTTCGGCCCAATGCGCATTTGGAAAAGGTCCACAGACTTCGCGGCTTGTCATTGGCCAACGCGTTGCAAACTCTTGGAGGCGCACTATCGTGAATCGTCCATATTCATTTTAATTTGATGTTGTCAAATAAAGCAAAACCGAATGCAGCCACAGTAAGTACAACTGTATTTACATGGATAATACAGCGAACGTTCCACAAACGCTTAAATTTATGTCATCAAATGACAGCCGTATTCTAAAGCCAACAATGAATGTACCTTTTGGATAATAAATTGTGAAACCATTCAAATATTTTCCGGTCAGGAAGAGCGACAAATCTGTATACTATAACTCGACATGTAACTCATGAAAAATACATCAACCACAACAAGCAAACACTGCCCTTTTTTCTTCCTTCAACATACATCGGCAGGGAATCTTTGTTTAGGTTATTTGATGCTATATTGTCTTCGGGCGTTTTACCTATCAAAAATGTACAACTTAACGACCAAACCTGAATTGTGAATTAATGATAGAAGTTCCACATCAGGCCCATATGAAGCCATGAAGGAGCAGTTCTGTAGTTTTGTGCCCAGTAAATGTCTCAGTTTTTGGTCATTAGGTGACACATTAGAAGTATGTTTTTCATAATGAGAAAAAAAAATCTTATTTTGTCTGTAGTTCACACTACACTCAGTCAGTGGCGGCGCCAGACTTCGGTGGCTGTAGGTACAGACACGTGGGTGCAAACGATCCTTCATTTCTCCTTGGTTATGAAGCAGAGTCACAAAGCTAAGAGGTTGATCGCCCTGTCGTAATATGTGACAACATTTCTGTGGGTGCAAACGTGGGTGCGCACGGCTTTTCAGAGGGTGCATTTCCACCCATGTGACACCACGAAGCGCCGCCACTGTATTCAGTAAATATTTTCCACAACAGATTTATACTCTGTTGACCAGAATAAAATATAGCTGGAACAGTTACCAAAGTTACACATATGTCGTTAGCAGGATCTTCATGCCGCTTCAACCGACAGGATGATGTCGTGACTTGTCAACGGGCACTTTATTTTTACTGAATATGTGCGCCGTTCCACATGACAAGACCATGATCCAAAATAATAACACGACAAATGGAATAGTTCTCCCATTCATGATAGAAAAAAATGTCCCAAACATGGGCTTCTGCGAAGCCCTTTTTCGCTGATCTCAGACACGCTCATCATCATACATATATTAAAATGATATGCCGGTGACACCAAAACGTCACGGGGAGATACGGGTGTAAACATGGGGCATCTTCACACGTAAGTCTCGTCGTAGAGGCATGCTCAAAATGTAGTGTTTTTGCGTGGTTCTTGTTCCCTTTGTTGACTGGTCCATCCATCAAGTTTAAGTGCATGGTTTTTTTTTGTTTTGTCATAAAATAACACACCCCGGTCTAAAGCAGTTTGGACAGGACCTTTGCAAACTGAGACTTGGTCTCGAGGTTTCCGTGCAATGACGCGTAGAATCGATTGTTCCCGGACAACGGTAGATTTTAAACCTTTGCGGTTGTCGCAGATAAGTTATATTCTAAGGATTTTCGGAGCACTGCTTCGACAAAATATCTAGTGTCTGGAAAAGCACTTCGAGTTTAGAAAAGCGACGCATAAGCCTTGCCGACTGCTCGTGCTGCAGCTGCCGGTGTACGCGGTGTTATGCTGCTGGATCACCGCTGGACCACCGACAGGTTTGGGACACAGCAGTCCCACAACACTGACAGGTTTCGTGCCGCCGTCCTCATTCATCGAAGATGAAATCATAGTTACTTTCATAGATATTGAATTAACTCAATTTCAGGAGACGTATGGGATACGTGTTTATCTATTTCTCTTCGACACACTGAAAATAGTACAGTACGTAAACAAGCAAGCACGTGGGTGGCTGTCTTTTTTCTAGAAGCTTCACAATAGGGCCTATGTACACGCATAAAAGAAAGCCTACGATTCAGCCCAAAATTCAGGTCTGGGTACTCCCATACAGACGGCGTTATTCTCCGTGGCGTATGAATAGTCTGTTGCCACTGCAGATGAACGCAAGTGCACTCTTATATGTATGCCACGCACGCTACATTCCATATACCCAGCAAGAAATGAGACCGAGGGGTACCCCCCAACATGCCCAATCCCTATACACATTCCAAACTATTGTTACTTAACACATCCCCCAAGATGTCTGAAAGGAATTCCTGCGAGACAATGACCAACACAAAGCAGGGGGGGGGGATTCTCCCGTCTCATTCCTTGCTGCATATGACATTCCCTTCAATGCTCAACGTCTCGTACTCCTTCATTTCGGAATAATTCTCACAATTATTTTGACCAGCTATTAGAGTAAGATTTCAAGTTTATGCATCTTAAATATTAATGTGTAATATTGAGTACTTTTTACACGTCATCAAAACTCCTGAAATTAATGCATTTGCGCCGCAACGATGCCAGCCTACATGTGCCGTCATACATGCTTCATGCATGCCTGTTGTGCCTTTCTCCCCGTTGCGTCATCAACCCAACACAAACACAATATTTGACCTCACTTGTTTCCAAAATCGGCCCAGTTGGTTGTGGACGGAAATTTCCTCTTATTTCTCTCATGTTGACTTTCGTAAGATATATTCACTGTATACTGGTTTCTGGGTGGCCAATCTACCTCCAAAACCCTAACTCTACTTCTTTAAATTGACGACACGTGAAGGGAGCCAGATTGTCAAATCACTATCGCTAGCTATTGTTGTTGCTTTAGTCGATTGCCAACCAGGAAAGCAAAAGTGGATACTGAACAAAATTTGTTGGGTTGGGGGGGGGGATTTCCTTGGGGAAGTTGAAAGTTATCAATTTTTCTCAATATCGTTTGCCTCTTTGAGGGATGAGGCAGTAAAATGGGCCTTCACTCTTTCTGAAGAAAGGGAAATGAAAGAGACAAAGAAATTCTGTTTTCTTTAAAAAGAGGCTGGGGAATGGTCCCATTTCCCACGGGTCACCCTTGCATAAATCGGTAAGGAATTTACCAGATTTCACCAGTCAAACTGAAGATAAACGCAGATATGCATGTATGTAACAAGTGGTTTGTTAATGTATCGCCCTTCCAAAAACTACCTTTCAAACGGGATGTTATACCAAATGTTCACTCAGAATGTTTTTTTGATGCGGAGAGGTTTGGGAATAATTGGCTTGGCGCTTTGCTTGGAGTTTCCTTTGGGGGTCAATTCCTCCATGTTGATGGTATCGTGCAAACCCAGCTTGAGATCCTGGGCTGGGTTTGAGGTCCCAGGCTTTGTCTGCTCCACCTGTGCTGTTTAGCAAGGTACTGCATCACGATGAATATGATGGCTGTTAAGCCAGCGGTGGTTAGCATGAAGTACATTAGGCCTATGGGACCTGCCTGGAGGAAGCCTGATGTCATGATGTCGTCTTTCTGGCGTAACATCCATCCCATCAGCATTGGGAAGGCCATCTCGCCGAAAGATGAACCCACGACCAGGATGGTGGCCATGCTCCCTGTCACTTTGTAGTAGGACTCCAGCCAAGAGATACCAGCTGGGAACAAGGATGCCATGGACAGTCCCAGCACCACTGTTCCCACCCACAGCACCGTGCTGTTGGTATCCCCACACCAGGACAAGGCAATTGAAGAAGCGATGCAGCCAACCATGTCTAAGGTCAGCATCACATGAAGCTCAAGAACGCTGGCCAGGCAGATGGACAAGCCCCTGCCAGTAGCAAAAGACCCCCAGAAGGCAGAGTTCAGCAAGGACGCGGAAGTCTCATCAAACAGTTGCCCCTTCTGGGCTCGGATGGCAAAGGTGAAGATGTAGCCACCGAAGGTGACCTCGGCCCCAACATACAGGCAATAAAATAGGAACATCAGGTCCACAACAGTGTACTTGAAATCCTTACTCATAGCCTTTCTGTCTTCATTTTGCCGGAAGGTAGTTGAGGATGGGGGTCTGACCGGAGATGTGCAGAAAAAGTAGAAGAAACTCACCGATACCAGCATGCTGAAGACTCCTATTATCATGTACACGTTTCGAAACTGGCCTGGGGATACAGCTGAGGAAACCTCAACTTCACTTTCTGAAGTGGGATTAGCTGCAAGAAATAGAAAAAAATGTTTTCACTCATACAAGTGCATTTTTAGATTAGTGACCCTTGACTGCTAGCCCCCAACGAGGCTGGCTAGTTTAATGCAATATCTCATCACCACCACCAATCAACAATACTTTCTTTAGTTATAATGATGAACAAAGAAACTGACCAGAGTGTAATTGAACCTGGGACCACCGGACCTGCCTGACCTCCCCAGAGTGATTGTGCGAGGTTAATTGTCTCCTAGCACAGCCAACATAGTGCCGTAAGTACAGCGTGAATATTCGCACGAGGGCAGCAGTTTGCTGCCATCGAACAGGTAGGATTTGACAGGGTGGACTCTGCAATGTCGAGTAGCTTCGCACGTTGTAATCGGCAACAAAGCATTCCAACCTTTGGTACCGCTCTTCGGCTTACATTCTGTTCTACGAAGGTCAGGACATTGACAAGCAGAGTCACACCTATAGACTATAAATAATTTCCTCTGGTCCAAATGTTGGCAATTTATTTGATTCACTATTTAACGAGTATAGTTTTAGCAGAGAAGGTCCGTTAACGTCAGAGCAATGTCAAGTAGAAGGTCGCCATCTTACGACCATCTTAAGTTACAAGTTTGGTATTAATCAGCTTTTTTTTTCTTGGCCAGTGTAGGCTGATTGGGGCATCTGGTCCTGGTGTTTTGTTCAAGGCGCCCGCAATAAGCAACCGACGGCCACTTGTTTCACCTTTTCTCCCACTTTTAAGAAGATTCTTCCACGGCCCAAAAAAACATTTGTTTCCAGCACTGACGGGCGTTCTGATGCACAGTGTCTATCTACGCTGAAAGGGTTGCTGAACAAAAGGTGATCCACTGCCTTTGGCAAGGTACCCCAAAACACTCTTGTGGATGCGGAAATAAAGTGACACCTGGGAGGTTCCTATATCTAGCCTATACCCCAACATGGCTTACTTTTTTGGGCAACACAAAAAGCAATACACTAAAAGAGAAACTTTGGATTTTCAGGAAACCTGACGATCGATGGGAGACATGTGACACGCCTGGTGGCAGCAACCACGGTGATCCAACATGACCATCCACTACTTTGACGTTCAGCTTGATTACCAGTTAATTAGCATCCACGCAACAGCGGACCGGTCAGGTCATGCGGAACCGGTAGGTTTGCTCCAACCAAGCGTCTCCAAGTCTCCCGTTTGGTCGCATTATTTCCCCGTTAACACGGCCCACCTTCTGAGATGGTTCTACACACGGCTGTTGTCTGTTTTGATTCCTCTGTTCCTGTTGTCTATGTAGTTTGAACAGTTGTGGCGCCCTCTGTAGTGGAGGCTCTGCCATCTACAGTGGTATTGGCTGTGGTATACTCTGTCCTGTTGGTCATGGTATTCTCTTTACTGTTGGTCATGGTATCGTCTGTGCAGTTGGTTTTGATGTTGCATATGATGACGCTGGAGTTTTGAGTAGTGTTTATTCTCTCGGCCTCTATGATGGTCTCGTTTGTCGCAGTGGTACTGATTCTTGTATCTTCTTGAGTGGCGGTTGCAGCATCCCCCGACATCAATGTTGTTTGTGTTACTGTCATCGGTTGTGTGGGGGGAAATGATGTCTTTGGAACCAACGCCGTTCTATTAGGAGCCAACATGATGTCAGTGGAGATGAACGGGGCTGCCAGCAGTGGGGTTAGAAATGCCCCAACTGCGAAGCAGAAGTGGAGTGCTTGGAGGAAGGGGGACGAACGCTTACCCCAAAGACGCAGACAAACCACAATGGCACCTGAATAAAAAGGCAAGAAATCCTGTAAAGTAAATTTGGTAGCTTTTAAAGAGCAAAATCTATGAACACTCAGAACACCCTAGCGTCTACTTAAGCCAATACTCCTGTCCACAGCCGTACAGAAGAGTGCCTTTGTGACGAAGTCACTTACGAACCGGATAGCTCTATGTGAAGTGGGCGTGGTCTAAATTGAAATGACATCATACTCACAAACCGGACTCTCTTCGGGATAATCGATCCACATGAGATCGGCCCTATCACTACCAGTGTGGCCGTTGTGAGCCCAGACCCGAACTCCCATGACTTTGCCCAAATGGCTTTTATTTGTCCAGTTTGGCTTATTGGAACATAATATAAAGACAATATTATTCTACATAGCAATATTTCACAAGTAGGGCCTACTGGGCTGTCGCATTTGTTCACGTACACCTTGGGAAAGATGTTAATGTGATAGATCACCCACATCTTTGCGGTGTTGGTGTGTGTGCACCTTGCTGAGGATTTTTGTGCAGACATTGCAGTTTCAAAACTTTCGACGTCTGAAAAATCATCTTACATACAAGTGAAAGCAAATCCTACCAGGGAAGGCATGGGCGGAGATCCCAGGGATAGACGGAGATCCTCACTTTTTGACTTGGGAGATTGCCATTATATTCAACCCCCCCCTCCAAATTTGAAGTCACTGAAGTTCTGCGCACCCGAACCCAACTGAAGTGGGACACTGGACCCTGTGCTGTGTCATGCCACGCACAAGGATAACTTTTCAGACATCATACGCTGCATGTCCACGTGACAAGAAATACCCGCCCATGAATGAAGGGGTAAGTAAGAGAATATCAGATTAATGAGTGTACGGTACACGAAAGCAAAATCTCACGTTGGTGTACATACAAAATAGCAATACGCATAGCGCATTATTCGTAAGCAGGTCTTCGTAGATACTCACCTGTGTCCAGGGCCCCTATAGCCAGACCCATGCACTATTGAGAGAACCACTGTCAGACTCCAGAGGGTGGTACAGAGCGGTACAAGAATCAGCCCGATTCCAGCTGTCAGCAGAGAGACAGCCATCAGCAAGGAGGGGTGGAACTATTCAAACATCACCCCACCCACCACGGACCCAGCCAGGTAACCAGTGCTTCGGCCTACGAATATGTAGGAGATCTCGGGGAAGCTTACAGTCAGCTGTTCCTTAAGCGCCAGGAGAGTGGGACCCAGAACAGCAACAGAAAGCCTCTGCACAGGTCAGGTACAAGTTAGAATGCGAGTATTCAATGCATACACCCAATACTGCGACGGAATTTCTAAGACCTCGTGTTCGTAGAAATGATTACCCTTAAATACAAATTAACTACATGCAGTTTAGGGTGTGCGATACCACAGTGTAAAACATATCTCGTTTGTGGGTACCGCAGGGTACTCAACGTTTCGAACACTGTGCTCTGTCCGTCGTCAAAACCACACATACAAAAGAAATATACATGGTGCTACTGCAAAAGCAAGCACCTTTGCTCGCCATCTTCACCATGAGAAACTTCAAATCTCATCTACATGCAGTTTGTTTGGAGTATTTACATTATGGAGGAGAATACATTATTTTCTTTGTTAATTATTTTAATAATCGTTGACTGCTGTGATGTGCGATATGACGTTTTGAATACCTGAGGGAAGCATAGCGCACCGAGGCGTCTACCTCTGTCATTGAGGAATTTATCCAAAGAAACGAGCTCTGTATTTTAAAGGTTCAGAAGACGACAGGCCTACTGTTCTACTGTATAATAAAGATAACAACCGTAGGCAATATCGTCTGCGAATGCACTTTTCCCTCACTTTGTTTAATTTCGTCAACTTTAATGTGCAAGTAGTGCGGGTACCACTGAGCACAAGTCCACGAGTCTGTAGTATAGCTAGCGGTCCCTGCATTCCCTGGGGGACGGCGACGAATCTGTTATACAATCATGATTATTGATCGAATTCCCCGATAACTATGCACAAATCGTACTATCATGATTACCACGCAAACACTGACTAACCAAGCGACAACGACCACTCTCAAACTTCCCGAAGATCCTCTGTCTTGTTCGCGTGCACGTGCTATCAGCAAAATGAGATGTGATATGCGGAAATATCGCCCTGTCAGATGATCGTCCTTGGCAACAGACAGTATCCGAAACAGAGGCACGTGGGTATGTTAAACAACATGTAAACACATTGGTAGGCCAAAAGGCAACTCGATCTTTTTTTACTGAGCTGCTTGAATAATAAATCAGATCGAGTTTGATGGAAGCTTCATCATAGACGTTTGGTCGTGCCCATTCAGCCACAGAGATCGTGGGTTGTGGTGGTAATTAATGCGTAGCTGGTAATCTTCAGACTCCGCAGTGTATGTGAAACTCTAATGTGGTATCTATGTTTTGATATTCTCTATAAGCAAATTCGGGATTTGGGGTCTTATTAGGATATAAATTTCAGTTTGATAGTCAATCCATGTTACTTTCGAAGCAAATCAAGAGAGGGACGGGTCCATCTATTCTGTTCATACATAAAATGTCAATGTTATATTTTTTTCCATTTTCGCTACGAAGAAGAGTGCATTAAGTTGTGCACATGTATGCTTTGACACAAATACACTGTACAGGAATCTCATTCTTACAGTCTCTAATACAAGATATAGGCTACGAAGGCGGCTTTCACTACTCATACATTGATGAAAAATAGTGTAATCAGGGACAGACGATCACAACCCAGCTCATTGCCATCTCCATGACATTTTGTTGGCAAACACATTGTGGATGTCTCAAAGTTACAAAGCTTATCCGACTCACCAGTCCTAGGAAGGCAACGCAAAGTGCCAGTGTCTTCTTCAACCGTCTGTCCTCCTTCGGGCCGTTCTTAACATCGCCCACATTCTTGACCCCACTTCCCAGCAGACCCAAAGTTTGCTGGATGGCATATGGGACTTGGAGAATACAACTTCATCGTCTTCGGAATCAGTCATGCTTGAATTGGCTTACTATCTTGATCTACCACTATGAAAATAAGTACACTTTGTATGGTAAATCTGTTCTATGGAAGAGTTAAAACGATAAACTCCGAAAGAGTGAACTCCTTAAAAAAACCAAGAAGCGAATACCATTCTAAAAAGAGCAAAACCCACTCCAAAGGGTGAAAATCACTCAAAGGAGCTAAACAGAGCTGTCACTTGTGAGGCTCCTTGAAGGAGTGGAAATTGCACTCCTTCGTAGTGGTTTTCAATCTTAGAGGATCGTTTTCACTCGGGGGGTGGGGTTATAGCTTACTTTTTTGGAAAGTGAGGTGGGGCAGATTGTGCTTGTTGCTCCTTCGAGCTGAGTTTTCATCTTTCAAAGTGTTTACGAGTTCATTCACAAAGTCATTTAATGGCTTAAACAGTCCGTTACTCTGCAATATTATTAATGTCACGGACCGGCTTGATTTAAGTCTAATCTTGGAATGTGTTATGAGTTTGGTAGCCATCCGAGTAGTCATAA